TTATTCCATCTCTTTTAAATCATTTATGAGATAAGAGTCAAAATAATTACAAGTTTATTTTACCTTATTATTTTTATAACAAGTCCATAACTCTAATTTTGCTTGGCCTTTTAAAAATAGATAAAAATTGTCAAAAAAATTTGAAAATCGAATTGTGACATCATAGCCTCTAATATTTTAAATCCTAGAATAGGAGTAATAATAGTTTTTATTATCCCAAATACTATTAAATACAAAAAAATAATCATATTAATGGATAATACATTTATTTCCTGTATAATTGATTGTAAGTTCACTTGAAATCAAAGAATCAAAATCAGGTATTTCTAATTCAGTTTATTCTTTAGATTTAACTTTTAAGAAATTAATTAAAGCACATCTTTCAGGTCTATACCTTTAATTAATACCTATTACTTCAGAATCCCCTGAAAATGATATTTTAATTTCTCTATGAATGATTGTACCATATTATTAATTAAATATTGATAGTTAACTTTCAAGATCCCATATTTATAGAAAGAACTGAGAGGAGTTTATTTAATATATCATGGCAATATATTTTTCATTTTTAGAAATTTCAATAGCAGCCACCACAAAACATCTTTCTTCTTATTTATTTATAGGGGCGAATAATACTTTACCTTAAAGAAAATAGTTGATCTATTAATTACAAGTATTTCCTTTCATTCTTTTTTGATATCTATATTATTGTTTAAAATAATTAGTCATTGAAATTTAAATTAATTGAATCAGACAATATCAGAAAACATACAAGTAGTATTTAAACTCATAATTAAACCTATTATTATTGTTCTTCTCTGATTAGGATAAATTAAGAAATGTAATATAGGATAATATTTATTTTATTCTTCAATAGGATAAGTTTTAAATTTAAAAGAGAGAAATATTAATTGATCAAGAATGAGTTCAATTAACGCCTATGTTTACATATTACTTATATAATTTCAATTATTCTTAAACTTTATATGAGCTATAAGTATAAAAACTTAGAATTAAGATAATTCAACCAAAAAAGACATTGTTTTAGAAAATATACTCTATTTCAATGATTAAGTAATTTTTAATCATGTCTAATAATTCATTAAAAAATCTTATGATTTAAAATTATAGTTCATTTTATTCAAATTCATAATTTTATATAAATTAATTAGCTTTTTTTGTATCAATTTTTAGAATATTTTGATATTACTCCACAAAAATCAAGAAAATTAAAATTAATTAAACAATAACTCGAGAAATTATTCTTAAGTATTTGTTGAAGTAATGTTAAGTTATCCTGAAAAAGTTATTTATTAATAACATTTTTTTCCAATTAAAATATGTCACATAAACTTTGATATATTCAGAACAGAGAAAATAATTAAAATTCAGTCATAATTAAAAATTCAGCAAAAGAACCATCTTAATTGACATAAGTGAAAAGAAAATTAAATTTTATTAAAAATATACAAATTGCCTAAAGGATTAATAATTCAGACCCCCTATTGAATTGATTATGCATTTTTATCAAACTTTAAGTTTAAATCTACTATTCTTTAATCATTAGGAATTTATTTTATAGTANAATACTATTAAATACAAAAAAATAATCATATTAATGGATAATACATTTATTTCCTGTATAATTGATTGTAAGTTCACTTGAAATCAAAGAATCAAAATCAGGTATTTCTAATTCAGTTTATTCTTTAGATTTAACTTTTAAGAAATTAATTAAAGCACATCTTTCAGGTCTATACCTTTAATTAATACCTATTACTTCAGAATCCCCTGAAAATGATATTTTAATTTCTCTATGAATGATTGTACCATATTATTAATTAAATATTGATAGTTAACTTTCAAGATCCCATATTTATAGAAAGAACTGAGAGGAGTTTATTTAATATATCATGGCAATATATTTTTCATTTTTAGAAATTTCAATAGCAGCCACCACAAAACATCTTTCTTCTTATTTATTTATAGGGGCGAATAATACTTTACCTTAAAGAAAATAGTTGATCTATTAATTACAAGTATTTCCTTTCATTCTTTTTTGATATCTATATTATTGTTTAAAATAATTAGTCATTGAAATTTAAATTAATTGAATCAGACAATATCAGAAAACATACAAGTAGTATTTAAACTCATAATTAAACCTATTATTATTGTTCTTCTCTGATTAGGATAAATTAAGAAATGTAATATAGGATAATATTTATTTTATTCTTCAATAGGATAAGTTTTAAATTTAAAAGAGAGAAATATTAATTGATCAAGAATGAGTTCAATTAACGCCTATGTTTACATATTACTTATATAATTTCAATTATTCTTAAACTTTATATGAGCTATAAGTATAAAAACTTAGAATTAAGATAATTCAACCAAAAAAGACATTGTTTTAGAAAATATACTCTATTTCAATGATTAAGTAATTTTTAATCATGTCTAATAATTCATTAAAAAATCTTATGATTTAAAATTATAGTTCATTTTATTCAAATTCATAATTTTATATAAATTAATTAGCTTTTTTTGTATCAATTTTTAGAATATTTTGATATTACTCCACAAAAATCAAGAAAATTAAAATTAATTAAACAATAACTCGAGAAATTATTCTTAAGTATTTGTTGAAGTAATGTTAAGTTATCCTGAAAAAGTTATTTATTAATAACATTTTTTTCCAATTAAAATATGTCACATAAACTTTGATATATTCAGAACAGAGAAAATAATTAAAATTCAGTCATAATTAAAAATTCAGCAAAAGAACCATCTTAATTGACATAAGTGAAAAGAAAATTAAATTTTATTAAAAATATACAAATTGCCTAAAGGATTAATAATTCAGACCCCCTATTGAATTGATTATGCATTTTTATCAAACTTTAAGTTTAAATCTACTATTCTTTAATCATTAGGAATTTATTTTATAGTAATTTTATAAAATGGTGTATAAGACTGTCTTAGTTATTAAAATGTATAAGAGTTTTGTCTAAATCATTATTACCTAAACAAATTATAAATTAAGGTTAATTAACAAAAATAAGATTTATTATTTATTTTTAATGAACTTTTTTAAAATTTTAATGATTCCTAAACCAATGGCCAATATTAGTAATGGCATTATCAAAAAGCATCTAATCAATTAATGTAAATATTACTTTTTATCTTTAGTTTATCCAAATAACTTTTTTATTGAACTCCTTCAACTTCTCTCAATTCTTATAGTATTTCTATCTTAATTAATTAGTATAAATGTATATACTCCAAATGAAATTTTTCTAAAAAATAATATAGAATTGATTCTAAAATTCACAGATTTTAAAATCTTATTCATAATCTAAAAATTTTAATCAATTTATTAACAATGAATTATTTGCAATATTGATAGCAAAATATCTTTCAATGAAAATTTTAATACTATTTGTATGCATATTATTAAATAAATAAAAATATAATTGTGTTATATGTAAGATTTTTATTTAAATAAAGAAATTATAAAATATGATTAATATTATTGTAAACATGATAGAATATCTATTCGGTGAAATACCTAACAAAATTGATATATTCAATTATTTATATATTAATTTCTATTTTTCTATCGGATAGTAAAAGATAGTTGATGTATACATAAAAAAAAAGAATTAGCTGTTTAAATATGGTTTACATTTCTGTTTGATTTCTAAAAAAATCATAACAAAAGTT